AAATAGACTTTATTGTATTGTTTATAGGATACATTATTTGTTAAGCCTCCATAAAGACTGCATACGTGAGTTCTTTTCATATGCAGTTTATATAAAACATATATCTTCCTGATATTAACGAAAGCTATTAATCAAACGAAAATAAAACTAACAACTTTATTATAATTTAAAAATTTGTCCAATTCATCAATCATTTTAATAGCGGTCATTAAAATAAAGTATACGAATATAAATAACCAGTTTCTGGTAATCATTATTTATAACAGTAATTGAAAAACCATTAAACATTCACTAACCTAGAACAAGGGATAGCCTAATTTAATTCCAAATAAATAGTATTTTCTTTTATTCCTTGAAATATTTATGACCTGTTATATACGCAAATGCCTAGCGCAAGGCGCCGCATAACGAATATCATAACTTAAGACATTGCTTAATTTCGTTAGGTGGTTTCTAGCCAATGGTGAAATGCATTTTTACCTTTAGCGATTAATAAATATTTAGCCGAAAGATTTGGGCGACTCCCTTAGTTTAGTGAAAACGCGCATCAGTCACTTGGAAAAAAACAGCTGAATCATACATTTACAAATTGTTCACGCATACGAATTGCGTAACGCCGAAATCGATGTGTATTTGAAATTAATGATTCATATCAATACGATTTCTGACCACAATGGAATTGTGTATTCTGCGGTATACCAAAACAATTTCACCGAGCTTTGCAGTGTCATACGCTTTCAACGCTGGTTAGGAAATTGAATTTACCTAAATAGAATTTTAAAACTTAAGAGATTTGGTACTTCAAAATGACAGCAGGTTTCTAGTTTATCTGAAGAAAATAAGAACTGAAATGCACGCATTCCAATATTTCTAGGAAAGCGTTTAGGTAGACGTCATAGTCACCAAAAAAAAAACCGCCGAATGAACTAGAACGTAAAATCCATTTATTTTATCAAGCACTATATTCGCAAATATAGTAAAACAGTACTACATGCCAACAGTATGATAATCGGTAGCGTATGGCAGCTCAATACAAATCACGACGCAGATATTGCTCCTGCTTCGCGAAAATAATAATTTCGACCTTTACAATGAATGTCATAAATATAATGTAATTGATGATCGCACACTCCTGACCAAAACCAAACTGCATAGCTTATCTAAGTATGAAAAAGAAAATATCATAATTCCTTTAATGATATAACTATTAACATCGACAAGACTTCATACAAATTATTGTCGAGATAACGGCTAATTCAGGACGTGATTACGCTGATGACTTGACATCCACAGCCATTCAAAGTGTACATAGTAAAATTTATAGACAGATTATGTGCGCATCGGCAGAAATAAATAAACTGGTGATCTTCTACAACCATATAAGACCTTATAATATGCGTCATAAGGTTGTGCTAAGGAGAACTCTTGCGGCGCATTCTTTGCCCAAGGTCGATGCACACCGACCCACGTAAGCTAGAATGTTGACTCTAAAAGCAAAATAGAACTCTATAGTAGCTTTTATATGTCTCTTCGTTTGAGTGGACATTGTTATTAAATAAGGAACCCCTTAGTGGAACGTAAGTTTCTGTTTGTTCAGCTCCACAAATTCTAATTCCCGAAATGTTCAATTTCAGAAATTCAGGAAACCCAACGGTGACACCATGCCCATTTTAAGAAATGGTTATTTCAAGAATTGGATATTCTTGGAATTGGTTATTTTGAAACCGTTGGAGATTTTGGGAATTTGACATTCTGAACTGAAAGAGATGACATTCACTGCTTAACCAGAAGAGACCCAAGCGTTCTTATAAGTGTTGCTCATGATAGGACCAAAAAGAGTAACGAGAAAAATCAATGGTGCGGTAATGGTATACCATGGTGGGCAAATGTGTATTCCGCAAGGCAATCGTTTGATGCTGGATCCGTTCCAAGGTATTTGTATTCTATGCTATGTTGTTATAACGCAATATAAATTTACTGCCGGTGAGCTGATACTTAGAGCTCATACTTAGGAGTGTTATGGATTATATTAGAAGGACAGCATGATTAGTTAGTGATAGCAGTGAAGAGCTGCAATGGATGTTATCTGGAGTAGATATTGTATTTTAAACTCAAGTATGAACATTTTTTATTGTGGTGTTAATAACAAAAATGGAATTTTGAATTACTTATTTTTTTATTATATTCTTTAATGAATGACACTAGGGCCGAAGGATTTGTTGCGCAAGCAGGAGGAAATAGGATGTCATATTAATAAACAGCGTACATGTCCTTTTAGTTACATAAAAGTTGTTTACCTTAAGACATGAAATATAAGTGTAAGCAAATTATCACGCAGTGTATTACACACTTTATGATGAGACGGGTGGCCGAAATCCCTCGAGGGCGTGACTCAGAGCCGGAAGACCACACCTCGCGAAGGTCAGCACAAGGTATATACACGCTGACCGCATTTTTGACATAAAAGGCAACAAAAGTAATTTTAAAATGTCTACCATTTAATATGAACCAATTGCTTTATATAATATATTAAATAGTTAACTATTGACTTCAATTTAATTCAAAAAGAACAGTACCAATTCTAGAAGGGATAATGAAATAGGAAGCCATGTAATGTTAATGTTACTGGTTTTTTTGTTACTAAAACCTTTATTAAAGAGTAGGTACTTAGTCTGTCCTGAATAGTGTTTAATAGCTGGAAACTCTTCAAATCCTTAGATACGCCATCATTTTTTTTTCTTTTCTCAGCCGCTAGGATTTAATCACTTTATGATTAATATTATGGTAGTTTGGCACATCCAATGATGCACCTTACCCTCATTCAAATACTGATATGCCATCATTTAGATCATGGCTAATGACATTCTTTTTAAGCATATTATATTATCACTGCTATTAAGCAGCACTATAGCTAATGGTTCTTGTGAACTTCAAGTCTCTTGATGTAAGTCTTGCAACATTTCAAAATATCATCCTTGATATATGGCATTTGCAGATATTTATTTGTGGACTTCAAGCATTACTTGTAAAGCAAGGTGCAGTGTTATAGAAAAGTTATTCAATAATAAACCAGACTCAGAGTTTTAGCTCAGAAGTTCAAAATATGGCAAATATCACTTAGCAGTTGTTACTAAGCTTAGATTGTAATGCCAGACTTAAATCTAGGTCTATAAATAAATAAAATTAAAATATTTGTTTGCAAGATAAAAATAACCGCTTTTCACTACACAGGTACTTGTACAAAAATATGATTTTATACATTTTTTGTCTGTCTGTGATATAAGTTATCACCAGCAATACACTACAGGATTGAATACTAATAAAACTTACACTTGCAAAACCAACATGACTTCATGTATGCTAAGACTATGACATCTATTAAGTCAAACAGATATGTTTCTTAACCTCGCGTGTCAACCCAAAAGTCAATTGCAGGTAGAATTGGGATGGCTCATAATGTTTTTTATAAGATGATACAGTACTAATTATATTATCTTATTAAGTTGCAGTTGTGGGCTTCAACTGTATCTGTATTTTGGGTCTGCAGCTAAAAAGGTTAAAGCTTAAGAGTCTTAAGAAAAAAAAATATTGTTTGATACCTTATTTTTTGTATAAAAAATATCTTAATAAATAAGATGTGCCTAAAAAAGAATATTTAATTGCTCAAATTGACTGCTACTTTTGCAAAATAATTTTTACTCACATTATAAATGTAAAAAAGATATAGATTGAGCACTTGTTGCTTCATTAAAAATTTATACAATAGCAATGTGCATGATGTCACTTTGATATCACCTAAGTAAATAATGGAACATGAGGGAGTAAAGTTTTCAGTGTTACAGTATTTTCTGTTATCTACTAATAAGACACTCAATATCACCACAGATATTAAATTAAGACAAAAACATCTTTTGCACACTGATTATATATGATATTGGTACCTTTGAGTTACCAGTTTTGATTCACAGTTAGTTTTTGTTGTGTCATATTTCTATAATACAAATGTTTTAGACTCAGTTGCACAAACATTCATTAAAGTTAAATGTTAACTAAACTCTTATGAATTTTCTAATATTGAAAATTCTTACCAGTAATAAAGTAATGATGTTTTTGCAAAGGGCAGTTAGTTCTTAATTTGGGATCTGAGCGATGTATATGTTATATAATAGTAATCATAGACATTATGGCCTTCTTTTTAATATAATATGTATTATTATTTAGAGAATAATATTAACAAAATATGTAACTATGCTCTGACAGGATTTATGTTAGACTTGTAGCACTAATTTAATAAAATAGAGGAGTATGTTTGTAATCAGTAATTTCTGAGTACAATATTTAGCAATGGTGGCTTGTTTACAGTGGCCGCATTCAGCCTGTGGGCTATTTATTCAGGTTTATTTCAGGGGTAGTTAAACCATTTACCAACCAATGGAATTGAACCTCAAAACTCACACATACTCTGAATGCATCCAACTGATGTAAATAACCCATAATACTTTGTGTGTGCCTCTTAGATCAAAGTAAAAAGAAAACAAAATCAAAGGTGAATGAGCTGAAACCATCATGCATCTTTATTGATTTGGTTAAAATAAATATTAGCCATTAACTCTTATATATAATAATTTACAAGAATTTTGAACAAAATTCGTATCTGACAGTTATTATCATTCGTTGATAATAATTTAATAATATGCTATGAAATTTCTGATAAGTTTGGTAATATAAAAAAGCCTTATCTATCACTTAAACTTCATCGCGATATAAAACTTATGATTTTAAATAGTTTTGCATTATTGAATCACGTTTAAAAATGTTTTATTGTGATTTAGTTTCTCCTTTTAGGTTATTATCTAATCTTTCAAGGGTTAAAACAAAATCACACGCGGCTAACATGATTGCGCGTACCTATATTTATTACCCATTTACGTAGAAAATTTTACAAATTCTCGAATTATGAACCAAACTAAGTCATAATATGATATAATTAATTGTAATACCTGTGAGAACTGTTCTCTGATCTCAGTTCTTTCCTCATCAGTCAATTTTGTATTATCTGCCATCGTCACACAGGTAAAATCACAAAAACAACGATCACAACATCAATAAGCAATCAGTTTCTTAGGCCTGGACTAATTTTATTATTCACTGTTCACTTACACAAAAATTTACGTATCAAAAATAAATTAAATAAATTGGAATAAAAAAATCACAGCACAATAACACTGCAGAAAAGACACCGCGTGAATAGAAGAGCAATTTACTGAATGCGATGCAAAATACTCTTTAGGATGAATGACGGCTTATCAACCAATCAACAAACGAGAAACCATCTGAGCGAGAAACAACACCAAGCGCGCAAGCCGCGCAACGCACGCAAGTTGTCAAGCCAGAGAAGAAGCATTTGATGCCACAATTAAAGTATTGCCAGGAAATATATTTGTTTTAGTTTATCAATATTATACAATCCCTCAACAAAAATAAACCAATAATATGACATTATCATCTATGTTCTCGTTGAGGAAACGTTCTTTTTGGTTGATAAATAAATATATGATTTAAAAAAAATTAAAAATGAGGAAGTAATAAAAAAAAATCAGTTCCCGAAATCAAACTAGATGTCGCCACGGTACTTTCTTGATTTCTCCATAACAAGTTTCCGGTTTTAATTTTCAAAACTCAATAAACAACTCATATTCTATTTGTACTTTTTCGTATTTGTATTGATATCTAAGTTTCGAACTTTGCAAATTTTAGTTTTTTAATATGTTAATTAAAAGAAACGGAGATAAATATCTTTGTTCCATTCGTTTCTTAAAAAAAACAACTTTTGGTAGAGACACCAGCTTTAATTTTTTATTAAAATACTTCTACATTAAGATTTTTTTGGAAAAGCCTGCCTAAGTTTTTTTTTCTTATGGCCTTGTTCTGTTATTCACAAAATTCTCCTATCATCAATAGTGAGAGGGACACGAGACTCGAGAGATTGAGCGGTAACTAGCCAAGTTTAATTTCGCTATCCATCTGTCTGTCTTAGTGATAGAGTCCTTTTTTTATTACTCTTTGACTGTGGAAACCTAAAAAAGATTAACAGTAGAACACCAGCCACATAGTTATCAATAGTTTTTGTTAACTTAAATACATCTTTTGGTGGTGATGTGTCGTGGCGCGTCAGTAGCCTGTTGGTTGCATACATTTATGCCCGTTTGCACGAAATTTAAGAGTCACTCAAATCTGTCACCTAATTATTTAGGAATCGACTAGGAACTACCTAACGACATTAAGCAATTCCTAAATTCATCATATGTATTATGAGGCACCTTACTCTAGGTATCTCCGTAATATGACAGTTCACAATACGTCAAGATATAAAAAAAAAATGTTCATCTGGAATTAAACTCATTTGTTTAGGCAATTCAAAAGATTGGGCGTATCCTAGTCAGGTTATGTTTTGTTCTAGTTTTGTGAAAAAGGGTTAGTATGGTAAGTGACACATTCACGTGTCGAGACAGAAATACATACATATATGAAGTGCATATTACACCGTTTTATGAATAGCAATACCATGAATTATTATAGTAATCAGTATCAGTGTTACTAGTAGATAATAAGGCCCTGGTTATTAAAACGTTACTCCTCAAAAATACGTTTTACTTTTTGTAAACAAGGATTAAATTTAAAAATTAAATCCTTTTTTGTGCTTGTTCAGTATTTAATTTAGGTAGAACACTTAAACATAAATTAGATAGGTAGGTTAGGACGAACAAGTATAATGTGTTAGCAAAATTAAAACTATTTTCTCTATTCCATTACAATAGACGTGGACCACATCCTTAGGTATGTTTAGTTAAATCTAAACTATTTTGGAATATTACTGCTCACCCATATATAACTTATGGATACAGAGTACTGGTAATACTAGTTCTATAGAGTTTTTTTTTTAATTTGTTGTTTATAGTCATAGTAGATATTTTTTTTTATAAAGGTTAGAGTTTGACAAGAAGAAAATATTAGGCTTTGTCTTATAAAATAATACAATAACCCAAGATTTTGTTGTTTGGCTTAGTTTCTTCGCCTGTCTCATGGACGAGACCACCAAGTTAGTCGATCTTTTTCGCTAGATGGCATTGTCTACTCTTTGAAGTCTTATGTATAAGTATACTATTATTTTCATAAATGTCTCTGTTTGTATCGCTATGCTCTATTTTTGGCATAAGTGACGCTACTCGTCGGTAGATGGCATTTACTTGATCAAGCCAATCCGAGTTTTGCTGGAACATTCCATACCGTTCTAGAATATACGTTACGTTTGATGCCAGGTGTGCTACATTTAGGGGTGGCTTATATTTTACTATTGTAAAGGGAAATATTTCAAGGGTCATGGTTCAAATTTTAACAAAAGCATATTATTATCATCATCATCATCATCATCATCAGCCCATATATAATTAAAAATAAATAAAAAGCAATAGTGAATTGTAGGATTTCATTTATTTATATACAATTATATAATAATGTAGCTCGGTGGCGTAGTGGTTAAGCGCCGCGGCCCGCGATCGTTGTCGTTAAGCAACTTTCGCAGGGGTCGGTCACAGGATGGGTGACCAAAAAATTATTATCTCGAGCTACTCCGTGCTTCGGAAGGCACGTTAAGCCGTTGGTCCCGGCTGCATTTGCAGTCGTTAATATCCTCCAATCCGCATTGGGCCAGCGTGGAGGGTCATGGCCCATCCTCCTTAACCATCCATAAGGAAGGCCTGAGCCCCTGCAGTGGGGACATAAAAAGGGCTGATGATGATGATGAATATAATAATGAGTATATTTGAATATTTATCAAAATTAGAGTGTAATTTTTATATTTTAATTTTTATATTACATCGGTTAATTAAACTAACAATAACAATTTTTTTAATGTTGCAAGCCTTCGTTTTAGTATACTCATTGGGTTTTTGTTAATCAGAGCTCTGAAAGTGAATTTAATGTCTTAATGTTCAGCATAAGGTTGTTTTATTTATCTTCTAATGAAAATACAGTCCCGCCGAAGTTACAGTTTTACTTAAAATATATCTTAAATAGGTTATACAAACGTTGTTTAAAAATGTCATTAGTTTAAAGCGTCATTACCAGTGGTCGGAATTAGATAGAGTTATTTATGTACTTACACTGATTTCATACAGCGAAAGAATAAATAAAAAGAGATTAATTTTAAAGAGCAGAAAAAAATCCCGTGATTTTTTAAATACAAAGTTATTTACTTTTACTTAATTTATTACACATGATTTATTTTTATTTAATTTATTACACATGACTGCAGATTACCACTATAATAAACCGAATTCAAAAGTAGTATTTTTAGTTAAGTTAGTTGAGAGGGTGAAATACATCCTGTAAACGTAATTAAAAAATTGAACTTGCACCATTGTCAAGAGCTAATGAAGAAATCAATAAATAAATGAAAAGTCCATTGATTAATCAACTACAGCCATTGAAAATCTTGAATGCATGAGCAGAATTTGGCTTTATGGCTGACAAAATATATCTAGAGTTGAATTTAGAACAATACATTAAAATAGAAAAAATACAGCGACTCTAAGTTGAGCTGCCCTGAGACGTCGCGAATATTCTACTTCTTTCGAGATGGCGCCACGAGTATAAATACACAATGCGCGCGCCGATCGTCATTCATTTTGAAACGAAGAGTGCTTCAGACACGATTTGAGAGCTTTCGTGAAATTTGTTTCACTGCGAGTTGTGTGGATTTTCATCGAAGTCTTTATTGTCTACGAGGATGTCGCTAATTCCGTTCCTGTTTGACTATGAGGTGGACCGTCCCCGACGGTTGATTGATCAGCACTTCGGCTTGGGGCTAACTCCTGATGATATGCTGTCGGTTGCGGCTGGACCGTTGCTGAGCAGGGAGTATTACCGGCCGTGGCGTCACCTTGCTGCTGCAGCACGAGACCTAGGCTCTAGTATAAAATCTGACAAGGATAAATTTCAAGTGAATTTGGATGTACAACATTTTGCGCCCGAAGAGATCACTGTTAAGACGGCGGACGGTTATATAGTTGTCGAAGGGAAGCACGAAGAAAAAAAGGACCAGCACGGTTATATTTCTAGACAATTTACTCGTCGCTACGCGTTACCAGAAGGCTGTACTCCAGATGCAGTGGAATCTAGGCTGTCATCAGATGGTGTACTTACTGTAGTGGCTCCCAAGAAGATTCCGCCAGCAGTACAGGGTGAAAGAAAGGTGCCGATCTCTCAAACCGGACCGGTCCGCAAGGAGATCAAGGATCAATCCAACGGGGACAAAGCTTAAGTGTCGTTTTAATTAGTATTATTTTATTTTTTCTTTGTCATTCCTGTGTTCTGTAAGACTGATTATTACGTTAATTAAATAAGCTATGATTATAAATCGCTTTTTATTTTCCTTGTGGGTAGTACTTTCGTAAATAAAAAAAATCAATAGCTGTATATAGTTTTGTATAATATTGTTTACTAGTTATTTGCTATGAAGCCCTGTAAAATTGTAGGGTGGAGTATTCCAGTTTCCCTATCTCCTAATTGAGGTCGTTTCGACAAAATTGAATATCATTATAAAAATTGTCCTAAAACTATAATTGTTTTTATGCAAAAAGTAGCTCTATATATTCCAACGAATAAGCTCCCATATCTTGGTGTGGGTATTTTAATATTTGGAACGTTCAGTTGATAATAAAGACTGGGCTAGTCAAGTCTGCGAGTCGATAACATTGCGTTGATATGTATTTGAATAGGATTTAATATATTTATTTTTCTTTATTCGTTTTTTTTAAGAGTTAAAATACCACTTTGCATATTTTTCCCTTGTCTTTTTTTTTATAAAATAATAGAGGCTTCGTGATTAGGGATTTGTATTATTGATAAAACTCAATATCAGTCGAGTGATCGATATTGGGAAAATGCATTTAAAATGTTTATTCTAATGTCGGTCGCCAAAAATCAATTTTTATCAGTTACGCCCGATATAAAGGCAATCCTTTATATCGGGCGTGACATAAAAATTGATTTGTAATAACTACCGCCTTTAATATTGTGTACCTTTTTTTCCTAGATACTAATATTGATATTGCATTGGACTTTGTGACTTTCCTCTACCGGCATTTCTATTAGCTAAAATAAAAAATTCCCCAGTTTTCAGTCTTCCAAATTTCATTACATTTTGGTATCAAAACCTACGAAAAAATGAAGAAAAAGAACTTTAACGAACTTTAAAACCTTTCGCAAAATTTCGTACCTGGGACTGATGATTGTTTTAAGTATTTTTCTTTAAGTTTAATTAATATAGCATTGTAAACAAGATTGATAATATAAGTAATTATAATATTTATGTGGGTAATAAAATCTTGTTATTGCAATCATTATTCAATTCATTTAATGTGAAGATCTTATGCGTAAAGTTTAGTTTTCGGTTGATTATCTTATATTTTTAAGCGCACTATCCATAAATGAAACGATTTTTAAACAGCTTTATTTTCGGTTGATTTTATTTGGTAATTATTTTAAATAATTTAGTTTGTAGTTGCTTACTTTATTATCATTAAGAATGTTGTTTTATTGTGGTCTTTTATTATTTTGATTTCTAAGACTGAGGTTAAAATTACAAATAAGAGAAAAAAAAAAAATAGTTACGAAATGAATGAATGAAAACTATTTTTTTTTCCTTTATAGTTTTATTTACGTATTTTCGCCTTTGAAACAGTATGCCGTTAACATGGTCACATGCTACAGTGGTTAGGGTGTTAAAGGACGTTATTAAGAAAAATCGGTATACTCTGATAAACATCGATATCATCTAAACTAACAGAGGATTCATAATTTAGCGAATGTAATAAGGAAATTTAATTATCTTGTTACTCAAAAAAAGGTATTACACAAGAAAGGCAAAGCAATCAACATAAAAATTACAAGCAGACAAAGATTAAAAAATGTTGACATGGCGATAATTAGTGCCTATCTCTGAAGTTATTAAGTTATCAAGGTAATTTTATTCTTATGTCGCGGATAAATTTGATATTTGTGTTTCGTGATGCCAGATGGTAGGGATTGATATGGTCCGGTCTCGATTTTTCGGAGGATGTCCAGTCCCAAAAAAAAAGGAAATATGCCATCAAATATTAAATAGTTGATAAAATCATTAAATAAAATGTTCCAGAAATAACCTAGAAATAATGCCATTTTTTTTGTTTGTTAAATCATCAATATTTTTAACCGACTTCAAAATCGAAAAGCAGGAGGTTGTAGTTCGACAGCGATGTATGTTTTTTTTATGAATATTCACCGATATTTCCGCCTATTGTTGACCGACTTTCAAAATTCTTTTTAATCGACAGCTTAATGGTCCATATTGGTCCCATATAAATTTTTATCGAAATCGTATTAGTAGTTTTCCTTTTATAATAAAACAAAATACGAATTAAATATCACCTAAATAGTATGTGTTCTTTACTCTTTGATTTATTTAATCTTCTTGAAATATGAACCAATTTCAATCAAACTAGCTGTTTCCCCGCGACATCGTCTGCGAGAATTATATGGCCCCCGCATATTATGTAGCGTAAATAAAATATTTCTATTATATAAAAAAATATCATTATCACTAAAAAGCATGTAATAAAAACAACCGACTTCAAACTTTAAAAAACGTGCAAAAACCATGTTTGTTGTATGGGAGATCCCTTAAATATTTTTTATTCTATTTTGTAGTATTTGTTGTTGAAGCGGCATCAAAAATATATCATCAGTGAAAAATTTCGACTGTCTTACTTTTACGGTTCTTGAGGTACAGCGTGATGACAGATAGACAGACAAACAACGAAGTTTTAGTAATATACCTGTAATACTCTTTGGGTACGGATACCTTAAAAGTGATAAATAATACTTATCTCAAAAGCGACTTATATAAAAAATTGCTATGGATGTCGGGCGGAGGTTTTCCTGACTTCAATAGGATTTTCTCGAATAAGTTGCTTTTAAAATAAGTATAATTTATCAATTTTTTTAAGTTTGAAGTCGGTTCTAATTTTTGAATAAAGTTTTTATGTATATTCACACCATATATAAACTCACAATTTATATTACACACTATTTAAGAAGCTGTTTTCCGAAGACTTCGCCTATGATGTTGCTTCCCGTAAATGAATTTTTTTTAATCAAATAAGTCCTACAAACAAATAATGTTGTTGTTGAAACTTTTCGTCCTTATAATACATATAAGTATAGATTAACACATAAACTTAACTCACAAAAGATTTATTTTTATTAATTTTATAAATTGGATTTCGTAAAAGGACTGGCATTTTAGAATATGTTACGCTAAGAAAGTTTAACATTAAATAACAAACAAAAAAAACACCATCTTCATATAGTTATTCCAAGTTGGCTTCTTTCGGCTGGATTGCCTGAATGTTTATGAAATTATTTGAAATTTCCCGAATTTTAGCCCAATGTTAAGAGCAGTTGCCCGGATTGCGATAAGTTAAAATCCCATCTCGGCTCACGTGGAGCTGATGCATTTTCAAGATATTTATTACTATAACATTCATTCACAATCACAAGAATGCAAAATTGGCAAAATATAAAAAAAAACAACACTATGTAATGAATTGGCAAATATTATTTATTGAAATGATTAACAACATAACAACTTAAAACTATCAAAATGCTTACACAATTCACTTTAGTTCGGGTTTATTGTCTTCAACAATTTTTCTAATAGGTCCCGTCTGTGTGATGGGTACAGGTCGTTCACCTTTCGCGGTATCAGACTTTCTCGGTGCTAAAACTGTTAGTACTCCATCGGATGACAATCTGGAAGCGACAGCATCAGGATCACTATCATCTGGTAGTTTGAATCTCCTTACAAATTGTCTGGATATGAGGCCATGCTCATCTTTCTTTTCTTCATGTTTCCCTTCAACTACGATATAGCCATCTGATATTTTCACTGTGATCTCATCCGGAGAGAAGTGTTGTACGTCCACGTTGATTTGCCATTTATCTTTATCAACCTTTAGCGAAGACCCAACTTCAGGAGGCCACCACGGTCGTAATCGTGGTATGACAGGACTGCTCACTGCTTTCATAACGTCTTCAGGTGTTAACGCAAGCCCAAAGTTCTGATCTAATAGACGCCTTGGCCAAGGTAAGTCGTAATCAAAAAGATGTGGTATCAAAGCCATTTTCGATGTGTTTCTTGTTAGCGTTTGGTTTGCACTGACGGGATATTTTGCGAGTGCCGAGTTTATATGCGCGCGAGTGGATAGCGTCGATTGATTTGGCACGACTATCCGCTGTTTTTAGAACTAGAACGTTCTAGGTTTATTTGGAATTATTTCGAAGTTCGATGACCACATAATTATATACCTACGTTGATGTATGCAATGCATCCTGAATGATTCAATTTATTATACAAACTAACTGTTTTTCCGTGACTTCACGCGCGTCCTTTATAGCTTATGACACTCGCGTATAATGTAGTTCCTGAAGGTGAGACAATGTTTAAAATCGGTTTACTAGTTTCGGAGCCTATTCAATACAAACAAACAATCAAATCTTTCCTCTTTATAATATTAGTATAAGAAGATAATTAGAAATATATTTCTTTTATAACTTTTAAATGGTTTCATCGCGTTTGTATTTGGTTTTAGACATTTCCGATCCTATACAGGTTCCGTGTTCACATAAGACTAAAAGTGTTGATTGTCTAAAATTGACAAACGTGATGAAACTGTTGAAAAGTTGTTTAAATTCCTTAAATTAATCTATCCATATAGTGCGCGTGAAAATACAAGAAATCAATACATATAAAAATAGCTAACTTAAAAGGGAGAAATAATGCTTAACTTAAAAACGGGTTAAATATTCAAAATACTGCTATTGAAGTTGGGAAGAGGTTTTCTGTAGGTTATTAAAATGGTGGCAGATTATTGAATAATTAAACCGCTTAGAGGATAAGTATTGTGTATTTCTTACTTTTCTAAAGTTCGAAGTCGGTTCTAATAAAAAAAACTATTCTTATTTCATTATTTTTAGTGATACTTAAATACGTTTTTATAGGTACATTATATGACAACATTTTAAAGTTTAAGGTCGGTATTAATTTTTGATAAAATCGATTTTGAAATTATAAGAATGCAAACACAGATCAGATACAAAGTGAATACAAAATGAGCTATCTTTTGTTTCCTTCGATGATATAACTAGGTAATAAATAATCTAAGTAATTTTGGGGTTATTTGTCGAAACAATCGGTGGATATACATTAAAAAAAAATTATATTAGTACCTCCTGCTTTTCGATTGTGAGATGATTTAAAAAAGGTGGCTTCACCGTAAATATACAATTATGTATGCACGGCCGCACGCTATGTACACCATTACCAGCCACCACCAGCAAGACTCTGTTAGAAAAGGGAAGTTTATACGAGGCACGGTTGCTACAAAGTCCACAATGTATAATAGTCTGACGTGCAGCCGTGTGTACCAGTGGCGTAACTATACCGTTTGAGGCCCGTGGCAAATTCATCGGATATTCATTTTTTTTACTAATTGCGTAATAGTAAATGTCAGGAGTAAGGAGTTTCCTCTGACCGGGGGCCCCTTCTAGCTGGGGGCCCGTGGCATTTTGCCGACTTGTCATCCTGTAGTTACGCCCCTGTTGTGTGTGCCATTTTGAAATAAGAGGAGTATTTTTTTTTTAGTAAATACTAAATGTACGGCAAGTAGGTACCTAATATAATAACAAATGGATCCTACCTGAACCTAAGACATCAGAGATATTGCATAGCCATTCGGTCACAGAAACCGTCAAAAATAATTTATGATTTACAGTTAATATTTATTGTGGGTTCTCGCCCATAGTACACTAGTATACAGTATAATATCTATCGTATTTGTAAAGAATTTTCTTTTCTAGTATGACTGCAAACGTTAAGCTTTTGAATTAAGACTAGCTTTTGTGCCAGCGGCTTCGCTTGCGGGAGGGCGTAGGCGAAGCCGCTGGAAGAAAGTGTTTCTTTGGATATCCACTCATATTATCACACGGATATAATAACAATTCATCCCTTTATCTGCTGTTTTTTTCATAACTTTTAAATTGGCCAAAACTAGGTCATAATCTTAAATTACCAAAACCGGGTCATCTGCCCAAGCTTTTCGTAGATGAAAGAATTTTTAAAATCGTCTTTATAATATTAAATATAGATAATATGTTAAATATGATTTTAAAGTAGGTACAATTTTATATACAACTAGTGGCAGCCAGCGACTTCGTCCGCGTTTTCCATTATTTCTTCGCTCCTAATAGTTGCAGCGTGATGTTATATAGCCTGAAGCGTTCCTCGATAAATGGTCTATTCAACACAAAAATAATTTTTCAATTCGAACCAGTAGTTCCTGAGATTAGCGCGTTCAAACAAACATACAAACTCTTCAGCTTTATTATATTAGTATAGATTGTATACTTTATCTTAGAAACAATATGAACAGTTACGTAAAACATAGTCACGTACTCAAGTTTAGTACCAAAAACAAAGATAAACAAATTCTTTTGCCGTCATGCAAGCTAAAGAAGGTTCTAGCAATATTTATGGGGCACGTATACCACTACTATAACAAACTCCTATAGAAATTTTAAGTTTAACATTGCCTAAATTTAAGACTCGTATTAAAATTGTCTCCATAGTAAAGGATATTTTACTGTGAATGAATATTTAAACGACAAAACGAGCTACAAGCTCCTCTGGTGTTGCAGGTGTCCATGGGCGGCGGTAATCACTCACCATTAGGTGATCCGTCTGCTAGACTGCCCCCTATTCCATTAAAAAAAATGGCTTATTTTTCACTAGTGTGCAGTGGTTGGGTGCAGTATCATGTTTATCCTTATCATGTTACGTTACATTTATTTGACATAAATCGATTGAAGCGTAAATATACTATAATATACTATAATATACTATAATATACTATAATAAAATGTTAACTAATCGATGTCTGTACATTGAAGATATATGGAAAAAACTACTATGAGAGGAATTTATAAACGTAATAGAACACAAAAAAAATGTTTTCTGTTTGTCGGTTTGTCTGTACATTTGTGCACGCTAATCTCAGAAATGGCTGAACCTTATGTTCCGTTAACATTTTTATTATATATATTTTATTTTATTTCAATTGGGTCATAAATAAAAAAATACGTCAATTTGAAGTATCGTGTTCTTCAAAATTGCTATGAAATTAACTGCTTTATAAAATTTTAGTCTTAAATGTATTGATTATCATCATCAGTTCTTTTTAACGTCTATGTCAATGAACGACTCAGTTCCTTTAATCGTCGGTTGTACTTCTTAGCACGCCAGACTGGAAAGGAATATAAATGGAAACATGTCTGGTCTAGGGACGGTAAAATACTGGCTCGAAAAATGGATGGAGGAAAAGTGGAGTTGATTCGCTGTGAAAAGGATCTTTCCAAATTTTTTTAAGTATGTTTGGTTTGATAAAATTATTTTTTTGTAACGTATATTCTCTTGTCATATTAAATGCATGTATTAGATGTTTTGAAAGAAAAATGCGTCTCACGGTTGGCTCGTATAATGGTCGATTATACTTTATTAATGCTCCGTTTCTGACTCAACTAGCCACGAATACATACGGATATTTTTTAATCAATAATTATTCATTTGCAAACTTGCATAATATTTATTAACCGTCCCTTAACTAATTAACCGATTTGCATAATATTTATTAACCGTCTCAATAACTTTTATGATAGTATAAGTATAAAATATGAAATCAAATGTAAATTTTTAATCAATTTATTTACAATCCTATTTTTAATTCACATTTTATTTAAATACAATATTTATTCTAATTTTTATATTATATTTGATGATGCACAATATAAAATTATATCTAAATGTCCAATCAATTTATCTTCAGACTTATGTATTATTCAAATTTTGTTATATAATTACAATTATTATTTTATATTTTATAGTGCACAGGGTATGGTTATATATATGATATGTTTGTTTGGTTTATTTACAAACATAATTTTTATTATAGATAATAACAGTATTAAATACGACTATTGCCTTGTGTAGGGCATGGAATACCGGAATGATTTTCATACCGGTATTAGACTTTCAAATACCGGTATACCGGTATTTCGGTATTTTTTCGGTATATTTTGAAATTACTGCAAAAAAAAAGTAATTTAAAGAACGTTTAGTAAGTCTCCAAAGTAAAAACACTGAAACTATTCACTCCCTAGAAATCAAAAAAATAGTAGGTAATTAATGTAAGGTTATTAATTAAGACATACTAAAGAAAATACGTTCTTTGATCCTAGTATCGTTCATTTATTGTTTAATTGGCACAAATATCACAATCAGCTCTCTTATAATAATAGAACTTATAACATGTAAGTTACAAAATTTTCAAACATAATCAAATTACAAATTATGTTACTTATTTTAAAATTATTTATATCAAAGGCGCAATTCAACTTAAATCTCAATCAGTTAGATCGCGTTTGTTGTAAAATTGAACGAAGAAAACACAATGCGTCCAAAGTTGCGTCGTTCAACGATGATCTTATTTTGTTACAAATGTAACTTGCAGATGAAAACGCCCTTTCTGATTCAACGCTGGTGGGAGGAATGCTTAATAGGTACTTGTAAGCTGCATCCAAAAATCTGCCTCTAGTACCTCCATTTTAAAAAGCTGGTGGAGTTAGAGTAGTAAACAAACGGCAACGTGCTCTCGCTTCAATAATATCAGCAGAACTGACTGAGGAAGCCGCGAGCCGGCGGCGGGCGGAGGGAGGGGAAGGAAGTGGCGTGCTCGGCGTGCGCGTCTCATGATTAGTGATGGGACTGGATACTCGAATCGTTTTGAATCTACCGATTATTTTAATCGATAGTTTAACCCTGGGGATGGACATAACATAGGCGAAGGCGTCCTTATATATACAACTGCTGGGTGTGGGTTCCATAACGTGTACAACTGTGCTGTGAAATATAAAAAACCGGCGAGTGGAACTCGCGCACGAAGGGTGCCGTTGGAGAATAATATTCTTTATTTATTATTGATTTAAGAACCAATTCGGTATGATAAATTAATAAAAATATTTTGCTAGCTTTGATAACGGCTGAGATATTCCAATTTTTGACACTTTGTTGTATCAGCGCCTCTTAGAGGATAAAACTTGTAACA